GATATGAGTTGAGTCCATTTCGCCAATTTCATACTTCATGTACATATCATACTTTTTTTTAAGCCAGAAAAGAATATACTTTTCTTTTATGGAGATGATATGTCTACAAGACTATATATCTATAAGGAGCCCTGGTGGCACTGTGGTTAAGGCTTGGCTGCTAACTGACAGGCTGGTTGTTCAAACCCACCAGCCCCACTGTGGGAGAAGTAGGTGGCAGTCTGCTTCCATAAAGATTTACAGCCTCGGAAACTCTACGGGGCAGTTCTACTCTGCCCTATAGGGTCACTATGATTCAGAATCAACTCGACAGCAGTAGGTTTTTGTTTATATAGTAAGTCCACGAGAGCCAAACTATGACCTTGAGTAGATCACACCTGAATTTACAGACCATCTCAAGAATAGATGTGACGCGTTGAACACTAATGACCGAAGACCAGACGAGTTGTGGAATGACATCAAGGACACCATACGTGAAGAAACCAAGAGGTCATTAAAAAGACAGGAAAGGAAAAAAAGACCAAAATAGATGTCAGAAGAGATTCTGAAACTTGCTCTTTCAAGTCGAGTAGCTAAAGCAAAAGGAAAAAATGATGAAGTAAAAGAGCTGAAAGGAAGATTTCAAAGAGTGGCTCAAGAAGACAAAGTAAAATATTATTACGACATGTGCAAAGACCTGGAGATAGAAAACTAAAAGGGAAGAACATATTCAGCATTTCTCAAGCTGAAACAACTGAAGAAAAAATTCAAGCCTTGAGTTGCAATACTGAAAGTTTCCAGGGGGAAAATATTAAACGACACAGGAAGCATCAAAAGAAGATGGAAGGAAAACACAGAGTCAAAAAGAATATACCAAAAAGAACTGGCTGACATTCAATCATTTCAGGAGGTAATATATGATCAGGAACCGATGGTACTAAAGGAAGAAGTCCAAGCTGTACTGAAGGCATTCGGATAAACAAGGCTCCAGGAATCGACAGAATACCAACTGAGATGTTTCACCAAATGGGTGCTGCACTGGAAGTGCTCACTTGTCTATGCCAAGAAATTTGGAAGATAGCTACCTGGCCAATCAACTGGAGGAATCCATATTTGTGCCTATTCCCAAGAAAGATGATCCACCAAATGCAGAAATTATCAAATAATATCATTAATATCACATGGAAGCAAAACTTTGCTGAAGATCATTCAAAAGTGGCTGCAGCAGTATATCGACAGGGAACTGCCAGAAATTCAAGCCAGATTTAGAAGAGGATGTGGAACCAGGGGTATCATTGCTGATGTTAGATGGGTCCTGGCTGAAAGCAGAGAATACCAGAAAGATGTTTATCTGTGTTTTATTGACTATGCTAAGGCATTCAACTGTGTTGATCATAACAAATTATGGATAACATTGTGGACAATGGGAATTCCAGAATGGGAATTGTGCTCATGAGGAATCTGTACAGGGATCAAGAGGCAGTTGTTGGAACTGAACAAGTGGATACTGAATGGTTTAAAGTCAGAAAAGGTGTGTGTCAGGGTTGTATCCTTTCACCATTCCTATTCAATCTGTATTCTGATCAAATAATCTGAGAAGCTGGACTATATGAAGAAGAATGGGGCATCAGAATTGGAGGAAGACTCGTTAACAACCTATGTTATGCAGATGACTCAACCTTGCCCTTGCTGAAAATGAAGAGGACTTGAAACACTTACTGATGAAGACCAAAGACCAAAGCCTTCAGTATGGATTACACCTCAACATAAAGAAAACAAAAATCCTCACAACTGAAACAATAAGCAACATCATGATAAATGGAGAAAAGATTGAGGTTGACAAGGATTTCATTTTACTTGGATCCACAATCAACACCCATGGAAGCAGCAGTCAAGAAATCAAGAGACGCATTGCAATGGGCAAATCTGCTGCAAAACACCTCTTTAAAGTGTTGAAAAGCAAAGATGTCACCTTGAGGACTAAGGTGTGCCTGACCCAGGCCATGATGTTTTCAATCACTTCATATGCACGTGAAAGCTGGACAATGAGTAAGGAAGATCGAAGAAGAATTGATGCCTTTGAACTCTGGTGTTGGTGAAAAATATTGAATATACCATGGACTGCCAAAAGAATGAACAAATCTGTCTTGGAAGAAGTACAAACAGAATGCTCCTTAGAAGCAAGAATGGTGAGACTACATCTCACATACTTTGGACATAACAGGAGGGATCGGTCCATAGAGAAGGACATCATGCTTGGTAGAGGGTCAGAGAAAAAGAAGAAGACCTCAAGGAGATGGATTGACACAGTGGCTGCAACAATGGGCTCAAGCATAGCAACAACTGTGAGGATGGCACAGGACTGGGCAGTGTTTCATTCTGTTGTGCATAGGGTTGCTGCGAGTCAGAATCGACTCGGTGGCACCTAACAACAGGTGACATAATCTGTAGACAGGTAACAATCAATGATGTTAACAGAACAAGGGAACTTTTGTCCATGATTTGTAGGTAAACCTGCCTTGGAATCTTTTCAGGAAAAAGCCACAGTCCTGTAAAATTCTGCATTGTGGCCTGACTTTCAGACATGTGCCTGATTCTCTTGGTCAGAAATAGTCGTAACTTGACTTTAAAATATCCCATCATAGCGTATAGCTTTGTGTTCAACTTTAAAAAGTATTAAGCTTGAAAACCTTCTATTAAGCCTATACAATGAGTATTTTCCATGTTGTGTCCCTAATATGATATACCCTGAATCTCAGAGGTTAACCTGTGTGACCAGGAATATCTATCCGACTCTGTTCCTCAGACTCTGGGGATGTGAAACAGTATGCCCCATCACTAAATAAGTGTAGGTTTTTGAATAATCTTAAATTGACAGCAGCATACATCACTAGACTGTGAGCTCCTGATGAAACTATAAACAAGAGCAGTGTCTGATTCCTCATTGAGTCCAGTGCATTCAGCACAGGCCTGTTGCTTAAGCTGCAGCCCTTAATAGTTTGTGAATGATTGGAGGAAATAAGATGAAATACAATGCTAATGGGTCTTTTCCATGCTGCTATTTTACTAAGTGATGATTGTTTCACAGGTGACTTACATGACTGGAGTCTCAAAGAGATATTAGAGTCCTGGGTAGGATATTCATGAATAAAAAGGTAAAGCTAAGTTTTTTCAAGATGTACAATTTCAGGGATGAAAACGAGGCAGTGTATGATGCGATGCAGGTTATAGGAGTTACAGTGGTCTTGGGAAGGCATACAGGGACACGTGATGAGATACATGTCACAGAATGCCACTGACCCTCCAGCACATACGCTGAACTCCCAGAGTCTCTACAAATCACAGTGAAACGGTTTGCTCTCTAACTGGATGCATGGGCTGAAGACTTTCTCTGCATAAGGGACCTCAGTTGTCCCCTTGCTTGTTGAGACAGAGAGTCAGCAAGTGTTAAAGTAATGACGAGCCCTCCAAGGCTGCCCTTGGCCTATTTTATCTCAAACTCCAACAGCCTCATAAATGGGCACCCTCACCTTCCCATACTATGGCCCTCTAGGTAACCCATCACACTTTCTCTGAGACCTGGTATGGGAGCCAGAATTCCCCAACGACTTCTGACTCCATAGAAGCATCGAGAGGCTTCTCCTCTCTATAACATTAGGGTCACAAGTAGGGTCAGGACTCCCCTGGAACCACATTTCCAGCAAACCAGAAGTAACCCTTTGCCAAAGGTTTCCCTGGCAATAGTCCTGAAAGTCCTTCCATCAACTCACATGAGGTTAACGGCATCCAAATCACCTGGGGAGCTTGTTAAAAATACATGTTCTAGGGTTCCACCCACATCTACTAAACCAGAGTTTCTAAGGGTGGAGAAAGGGAATCTTCATTTTAATAAGCTTCCCAAGTGATTATGATTTACAACCATATTCAGGAACCACTGTTCTGTGACAGAAGGAGCCCTAGTGGTGAAGTGGTTAAAGCAATCAACTGCTAACTGAAATGTCGGCAGTTTGAAACCATCAGCTGCTCCACAGGAGAAAGATGTGGCAGTCTGCTTCTGTAGAGATTCACAGCCTTGGAAACCCCATCGGGTTGCTATGAGCCAGAATCAACTCGATGGCAGTGGGTTTTGGGTTCTGTGACAGACAAGGGACACAGACAAGGTGATGTGAGGGTGGGATGGACAGATAGATGACGAAGCTGACGATGGTACCTCCTTGGTCAAGGACTTGCTAAAGGACAGACTGAATTACATCACTCTTCTCTGCCCCAAACTGCAATGGCTCCCAACAGCCAAGAACAAGGCCTAACTTCTTAGAGCGTCATTCAAAGCTTTCCACAATCAGTCCCAACTTCCCTCTCCAAACCCTCTTCCCACTTTCTCCAGCCTATCCCCTCCCCTCATTATCTACCTATTGAAATCTTTCTCCTCTTCAAGGAGCAGTTGAAATCCCCCTCTTCCACTGATGCCCTCAGTCAGGATTAATGGCTCCACCTTGTAACTCTGTTTAGCACATATTTCATCCTGCCTTGTGTTATGATTAATTACATATTTGTCACTTTCCCTAATACTGTCAGTTTGAAGGCATCTCTGAATGATTTATTAATCCCATAGATATTTATTGAATGCCTACTGGAGCTGGAGACATAGCAGTGAACAACACAGACTGAAATCCCTCCATTCTAATACCCTCTAGAAGCTAGCATGGTGCTCAGAGAAACATTTGCTGAATTGTTTGAATAGCAGGCATAGACGACTGATAAATGGAAAAAGCAGGCAGCCTAAAGGCAAGAGTGGTGGCAGTCAGAGGAAGACAGGAGGATTGACCAGAAAGAGATCCGACCCTTCAGGTTCAAGCACCAAAAGGGCCTCTACCCTACTTCTTCCCCCCCACCCCCCGGCTCTCACATATCCATTATTCTTGTTTCCCACCCTAGATGTGAGGAAAGTCCCTGCCAGCTGAGAGCCCAGCACAGGAGGGGAGGCACAGGCACCTCCCTGGAGAGGCCTCAAGGCCACGTACCTAAGCTCCAGACAGCCCAGCTGTAGGGCCATGCCCTCGCTGACCTTGCTGGCATAGCGTTGCATGTAGTCATTCCTGAGCTGTGAGGGGAAGAAGATCAAAGTTCAGACTCATGCTTTCATTTCCTGTTTCCCTGAGCAGGGGCCCCAGGATATGGTGGGTGTCTGGAGCACAACCCTGCCTCACTGATGTCTCTCATACCCAGCCCACCATGAAGGAACACGCAGCAGGGGATGAAGAGCAGAAAGAGGAGGCTCACTCTCAGCTCTGCCTGACACCCTCTGTATCCATGGGTAGTGTTAATCATGCCTCCACAGGCCGAGGCCTCAGGGTTGTTGAAGTGCTTTCATACACATTTTCACTTCTTCATGAGACAGGAAGTGGTCTGTCCCCTCCCATCCCCAATGCCATTTTGGAGACTAGGAAAACGAAACTTTGTGAGAAGTCAGTAATTTATCCAAAGTCTTGCTGGTGAGAAGATGTCATCCATGGTCCAAGAAAGTCTAGCAGGGAGATCAAGAAGGGAGCTAGGACCAGACAGAAAATAACGATGGGTGCTCACATGAACTCAGCACTTCTTCAGTGCCAGGTCCTGTGCTAGGTCCTTTATATCCAGTGGTGTGCTAGAGTGGCTCCAAACCGCTCACGAGAGCCTGTTATGACGTCTTCAGAATATTGTGAGCCATTTGATGCCATGTTGGTAGCTTAAAATAGGCCATAATGGGAATATTTATACCATGGAAATTGGTAATACAAATCAGAGATTTTTCATTCAGAGAGCTGGTTTATCAGCCTACCACTAATTATAGCATTTGGTCCTCACCTAAAAAAAACCAAACCCATTGCCATCGAGTCGATTCCGACTCATAGCAACCCTATAGGACAGAGTAGAACTGTCCCATTGAGTTTCCAAGGAGCGCTTGGTGGATTCAAACTGCTGACCTTTTGGTTAGCAGCCGTAGCATTTAACCACTATGCCACCAGGGTTTCCTTGGTCCTCACAGTAACCCTAAAATGTAGGGATTATTATTATACCCATTACATGGAAGAGGAAACAGCTTCAAGCAGGTCAGTTATGTTCCTGTGGCTACCCAGTTAGTAAATGGCAGTGCTGGGCTAGAAACCAGATGTGTCTGACTATGGAAGAGCCTGGTGTTAAGCACTACAGCCTTTTCTTTGGACCTGCTCTTCTTTCTTCACAAGTTAGGACTCCTGGGCAGTAAATGGCCACCAGGAAAGTCCAGGAGGAGCTGTGAGCATATGGAACAACGTTAGGCCATCACTTAGTTAGCTGGGAGAGAAGCACGATTGGAGAAGCTGACCAGGGGCCAGGGAAAGTCCTCAAGAGAAGCTGCATGGATGGGCCCCTTCAAAACCTGGACTTTGCCTTTCCTTCGTCCTAGGAGAGGATGAATAATACTGTACTCGGCATTTAAGGTGCACTGTGACCCATGGGGGCAAGAAAATAAAGTACTTTTACCTGTTGGTAAAAATAAAGCAGCGTGGTCCTGTCTTCTTTCAGGCTTTCCATGAAGTCCTCTGGCAAGTAGCGGATTTGAAGGTCATACCTGGGACAGGAAATTCAAACTCTCTGGTTGATACTGGGAAGCTGGTACTCAAAGGAGGGAGTGAGGCCTGCCAAGAGCAGAAGCCAGGAGTCCCCAGCATGCAAGGGACTTCCCATGAGGCACCTGGCCATTCATTCAGGACTTATTTCTTCTTTCCCTTCACTATGGTTGGGTGGAGGACCATGGAGGACAAAGGTATGACCAGCAGGCAGTGGTTAGCACTAGTCCTGATTCCCCACCTCTTCCCCCTCAAGACAACTGTTTTCCTTAGGTTCATAGACCATCCCTTTACCTGGCCTCTCCACCCTTCTGCTTCCCCTTCACATAGCACAAACAACATCCTGTCTGGGGATATTCCTAGATATCTGCCCTGGTGGGGATGTGCTGTGAACCCAAGTTAGGGCTTGGCAAGTACATTGGACACTTCAGGAGGACTGAGCCTAGATGCTACTCAGATTTTCTGGAGGAGTCTCAGAAGTTAGGAAGGGTCACCCAGGGCCTCCCCACCCCACACACATCTGCCCCCATTACAGGGCCAAGGACTCCCCTCCTACCTCCACTCGGCTTCCACGTGTAGACGCTCATACTTGTCCTGCACCTCACCCACCGTCATCTGCGGGTGCAGCCAGTGGATCTCATCCGACTTCATATGCTTCAGCCTGAGCCCATAGCACTCAGCCAGCTGGATGTTGGGCCCAATCCGCCCACTTAGCAGGATGGAGGTGATGATCTCCTATGGAGAAGAGGGATGTGACTTAGTGGTGCCCCCTTCTAGGCTCCCACAGCCCACATGCAGCCTCGAGAATTGTGGTACTCTTGGGCAGAGGGGGCTCTGTTTTAATGGTTTATTTATCTCTGATTCTTTAGAACTTGGTGCAGGGCTTGGTACATAGTAGGCTTTCTTCATTCATTTGAATGAACAAATGGGTGAAACGAGACAGAGATAGAGGAAATGAGAGAAAGCAGAAGCGAGAAAATGAGAGGAGAAAGCAGAAAATGCAGACAGGCAAAGAGACAGATTCCCTGGTAAGTTCTTACATTTCATTCCAATCAAACCAATTAATAATTACTAAGAATTCACCATATGCAAAGCACCTTCTGAATGTTTTTGATGTAGCCAGCATTGCTGAGCGTCTGTACCAGGCACTGCTAGACAGTTCTCATACATTGTTTTATCGACTCTGTACAACACATGAAGTAGGTGGTACTTTCCTCCATATGGCTGATGAAGAGACTGCTATAGGTCACACAGCTCGTGGTATTAAGCTGGGATTTTGAACCCTGAGCCACTGGACTCTAGATTTCTATTAAGTCAAGCTGCTTCATAGGATTGTGGGGCTAGGCAAGTCAGAAGGACACGACTCACATCAAGGGATTATGTGTCCCAGTCCTCACACAAGAAGCATGGCCACAGGAAAGGTAGTGCTGGCAAGAAGTCTAGTGTCCTCTTGTTCTTGGTTTCTGATTGACCAGAGGCTAAGTAGGCTACCTGCTCCTAACCTACAGCCAGAGCTGCAATTAAGAGAAGGGCCAATGGGAAGATCATCTACAAGGCATAGGCCAGCTCTGAAATCACTTTGGTGCCAGTTGAACTCAGGTTTCTCATGTGATTTGATACATACTTTGTAAACTAAGGCCAATTCTGATGAAGCAGAGAATGCCCTTGGATGCAAATTTTAAAACTCACAGGCACTGACGTATGTCTGTTGAATATCTCTGCAGTGTGCACTCCACCAAGCCTACCGCCAGCCTAAAGACTGAATAATGTGCAGTAGGTTGCTGTCAGACCAGGAAGAGGAATGACACTTCATTATTTTTATTTTTATTTTTTTTACATGCCTCCCAAGAAGTTATCTAATTTAGTAAATAAAATGTAATCAATTTCTTAATTGGAATTAAAAGAGAAAAGTATACCATTTTTATTAGAAGGAAATCAGTAAATGACAAACTAATATTTAAATAATACTGGTTTGAAAGAACACCAAATTATTCATCTGCCTGGGCACCCAAATGTCTCATTCTAGCTCTGCCCCCCATCAGCCCTCTTCAGCCTCATGGAGTCATGAAGCTAGCAGGTTCTAAGCCTAAAAAATCCCTTCCTTGTTAGGAAAGAAAATGCCTATCAGAGCAGCCATCTATTGCTCTGTGAGACAGATGTGGAAACAGAGGCACAGAATGCATATGTGAACAGTTGAAACAGAAGAGTGCAGGAATCAGAACCACGGCCCTGGGGTGGGGAAGAAGGCTGTGGTCCATGGCACCTCTACAGTGAGGGACACAGACAGGAGGAAGAGCTCAACGCTGTGAAGTAGAAAAGTTTGTCGTTATCTCCACTCATTTGTCCTGTCACTGACCCTCTGTCCACTCGGTTTTGTCTGTTCTAGAAATGCATATAAATGGATATATACTCTTCCATGTTCAAGTTCTTTCACTCAGCATAAAGTCTGAGATTTATCCATGTATTTTATTAACGACTTATATTCCACTTTATAAACAAACCACAATATATTTATTCATTTTCCTGTTGCTGGATACCTGGGCTATTTTTCATTTTTGGCTATTGTGAATAAAGTTACTATGAATATTAATGTACAAGTCTGTTTGTGAACATGTGTTTTCATTTCTTTCAGGTAAACACTTAGGAATGGAATGTTGGATCAAAGGTAGATGTACATTTACTTTATAAGCAACTGCAAGATTTTTCCATTTTATATTTTCACTGTAATATATGAGATGTCTGTTGACCATTTCTTCACCAATATTTGATTTTGTTGGTCTTTTTAATATTAATCATTTTAGTGAGTGTGTATAGTATCTCATTGTGCTTTTAATTTGCATCTCCCTGTTGACTAATGATATTTGGCCCATTTTCATGTGATTATTGGCCATTCATATATCTTCCTGTCTGAGATGTTCAAATCTTTTGCCAATTTTTTTTGTGTTGTCATTCGAGTTGTAGAAGATCTTTATTCATTCTGAATAAAAGTACTTCGCATGACATATGATTTATGAATATTTTCCCCAGGACTGTGGCTTGCCTATTCCTTATCTTATCAATGTTTTTTGATGAAGTCTAATTTATCAAAATTTTCTTTTATGGTTAGTTCTTTCTGTGTCCTTTCTAAAAAATCTTTGCTTGCCTCCAGCTCATGAAGATATTCTGTCTTTCTTTATAAACTTTTACTTTTAGGTCTACGATTCATATTGAATTAATTTTTATGTATGGTGTGATGTAGGGGTCAAAATTTATTTTTCCCCCTCATATAGATCTACAGTTTTTCCTGCACTTGTTGACTTTCATTTGCCAATTGAAATGTTTTTGCTACCTTTGTCAAAAATTAAATTGGCTGTATAAGTTCAGGTGTATTTCTGAACTATCACTTCTGCTCTGTTGATCTTTGTCTATACTTATGCCAATATATCACTGTCTGGATTACTGTAGCTTTAGAGGAGATTTTAAAGTCCAAAAAGGTAAGTTTTTCACTATTTTTTCCTCCAAGATTGTTAGGCTCTTCTAGGTCTTTAAATTTCCATAGAGTGAGCTTGTTACTTTCTATTTAGAAAGTCTGCTGGATTATGATTGGGATTGCATTAAATCTACAGTTTAATGGAGGAGAATTGACATAACAACATTGAGTCTTCCAATCCTTAAACATGATATATCTCTCCATTTATTTAGATCTTCTTAAATTTCTCTCAGCAGTGTTTAGTAGTTTTCAGTGTATAGGTTTTGTACAGCTTTTGCTAAATTTATTCTTAAGTAGCTTAAGTTTTTTGATCCTCCTGTAAATTTATAACATTTTAAAATAATGTTCTATTTTGGAGCTCATCATCCCTGTGACTCCCTTCTTTCCACGACTTTCCCCTAATCTTCTGGCTGCTCTGATAGCTCAAGTTTTATTCTTGAACATCTCACACCAGTAAGGCTGCAATTTTCTGTCCATGAAGCCACTCTTAGAATGAAAAGTGCTCTCAGGTAAAAAGCCACAGACTTGCGAATCTCATTCATTGCAGTTAATGTTTCAAGAGCATATTTCCCTCCAGTTTCTACTTCCTGCTGTCATTCTCTAATGTCTTCAAATTGTTTGCTTCTATATTTTGTTCAGGTTTTATTATTGCCATCTGCAGAAGAATTAGTCCAACCAAGCTACTTCTCTGTGTTTGAAATCTCTGCACTATTTTTATCAACAAATCTGTGTTCTCTGAAAATGGAAGTGGGTTGGAGAGCAGAGAGCTCCATTGAAGTTACAGATAGCCATAATGCAGCATAGCAATAGCCCAATGTACAAGGCCCGGCATCAGACTTCAGTAGTGCTTCATCCTTCATTATGTTGCCCTTGAACAATATATTTAAACTCTCTGGAGTCAGCTTCCTTATCTATAACATGGAGAAAATAATAGTATTTATTTTAAATGGCTTTGTGGGGATTAAATCAGAAACAAACTCCTTAGAACAGAGCCTGGCACAAGGTAAATACTCAAACAAGGTTAGTATTATTTTAACACAGTAATCTCTTGCAGATTCTGGTGCTTTGTAAATCAGACTGGTGGGGGAGGGTGCTCTGGTTTCTTCTTGTTCCTTTTCATCTTCTCTTCTTTTCTTTTCCTTTCTTTGAAGGCAGTGGTATGGCCAGGGGCCAACAAGGTAGTGAGGCTGAGGAGTTGGTAGTAGCAGCAAGGCCAGGGATGGAGCAAAGGTGGTGGGGTCGGGGTAAAGATGGAAGAGTAGTTAGGAGATTGGTTACACAGAAGGGGATGGAGCAAAGTAATAAATATATTTAGGACGATGGAGTCAGGTTTCTTACTGTTGGAGAAAATACTCAATATATGGAGAGGGGTAAGACTAGAGAGAACACTGAAGTGAGGGGTTGGAAGTGTTGCTGGGAACTTATACCTTGATAGATAGATGATACATGACACATACATACAGAAACAGATACATGGACATGTATTCTAGCTTTTCTACTGAAAGGGCCTAGGAGCAATAAAACCCAGAGGTTATTTGCATATCAAGTGCCAGGTCTTGATTTCTAAATAATATTATCCACTAAACAGATCCAGGGATCCTTGAAGAAATGGCTGATTCCAGGACTGGGGCAAGGAAAGTACAAGACGAGCCTGGAATATCTTTTTGTGCCAGAAAATAAGGAAGTGCTTAAAGAATGATGGGGACATGTCATAGTGACAGAGGAACAGCTTGAAGGGGTTCCCACTGGCCAAATCTGGGACAACCTAAGTATCAAAATATATAACCATAGGACTGAATTACAATCCACTGAATAAAATATAACCTATGACAGATGATAGACAGGTAGACAGGCAGGTAGGCAGGCAGGCAGACAGACAGATAGACACAAATAGAAGAGAAAGGAAAGTTCTTCCTTGGAGTACCTGGAGTAGTTCTTCCAGCTAACAAATGTAGAAGAAGTGATGGAAATAGAAAATCACAAATGGGCTACAACTCGGTGGTGGTTGATTCAGGCAGACAGGGTCTTGCAGCTTCTCTTCCAGCCACACTGTCTGAGAGGAGCCAGGCGGAATCCTTTACCTGTGGTTGCTGAAACTCTCCAGGGCCTGGCAAAAGCTTTCTGGGATTCTTGCAAGGAAGCAACCAATTTCTGTTGCAGGGGTAAGAACCTTGGGGAAGAATTTCTTTAAAAGAACCTTCACCCAACAGATTTTCATAGGGAGGCAGCTTTCTACCTGGAGTTTTCTAGGCATGGAATGCACTAT